TTTTCATTTCCCACACGTTTAGCAACATGCTTCTGGCATTCAAACACCATATACTGGTTACTATTGACTGCAAACATATTTTTCAATAGTGTGTTTCCATGCAAATCCAAAATGGTGGACCATAGAATGTAAGCTCGAATTTCATTGAATGAATTGAGAGCTTTGTTATATATACAACCAATCAGATCATTTGTTTCATTTGTTACATATTACGCACATCTCAGGATCTTTCAACAAATATAAATCATGATTTCGTGGCATATCGTGATTTTGAATCAAAATTTATTATTGTTTATTTTTTTTTAAATATAAATTAATTTTCGATCACCAGGATTGACAGCTTATCACATCTTTATACACTGTTTACCGGACATGAATATTCAAATTGAAAACTGCAAATACAATGTATTGTATTTCCACAATATAATTTTTAATATTTCAACCACAATTCTCCTCTCTCAACACATCCAAGTTAATAGATGTCAGGAAATAAACGGCTAGTGTATTCAAAAGAATAATAAGCACAAAATAAGACTCAAGTAGAATTCAAATCAGTTCACTCTATTTTTTTTTTACCTTCATGTAATGACGTAATGGGAACAATTACCTCATTGATCAGCGTATGTACTATCACGTTACATGGCAAATATTTGCATTAATGAATTCTATTTCGTGTTATGTTTTTGAATCTGTGTAAAGTAAATACCATATCCGCTTGCTTTATTATAGGGATGTATAAAAAGTCTAGAAATGTATTTCAAAGACCACCTGGTGATATTAGGAGGCGTGGGTATTGGTATAGCATGTCTACAGGTAACAATTTCACTTAATGTATAGAGGGTCTGTGTGGACAGGTATTGATAATACAAATGAGTCAGTTTGTAATGGGTGTATTTCCTTCAGGGATTTTTTACATTTTTAATAGAATATTTCTGATTTATTGGGAACATTTAATTTGCCAAAATGAGTATATTAAATTATATTTTTACTTTGATTACTTTAATAATATTGAATAACCACTTTTAATCCTATTTGGTGTCCATTATTGACTCCCATGTGCGAAGCACAAAATGGGAGTCTTTGCAGTTAGTGTGTCTGTATGTGTGTGTGTATGTGTGTGTGTGTGTATGTGTGTATGTGTGTATGTGTGTATGTGTGTGTGTGTGTATGTGTGTCCGACTGTTCCACTGCTATCTCAAGAACCATACATCGGTTTTTGATGAAACTTGGTGCATAGATGCTCTGGGCCAATGCGCAGATTTGATTAGGTTTTGGTAAAAATC